TTCGAATTATCGTGGTCATTTTTTAGGCTGATACAAGTTTTGTACATTTTCTATTTTTTTTTTAATATTATAAATCGCAATAACTAATAATTTATTTACAAATTGCGTAAAAATACTATAAATCATGATAATTGACAACATAAAATATTTCAAAAAAATATACATATAAAAATTTCGATTGATTCTTGAAATTAATCTATCGTTAAAAATTATGTATAAAATACAATAAATCGTGATAATTGACAACTTAAAATATTTATTAAAAATGCACAAAAAAAGAAATTAACTGATTCTTAAAATTAATCTATCAATGTCACATAAAATGAGACAAAAGTAGTAATATGTATTATTTAATGTCAAATTACTGAAAGCTACGTAAAATGTATTGTAAATCTTAACAATTAACAACATTTGATTAACTCTTGAAATTTTATCTATGCTACATACATTGAGACAAGTGGAGTAATATATATTAAGTATTTACAAATTACGTAAAAATATTATAAATTACATTATTAACAACTTAAAATATTTAAAAATCATATTAAATTTAAATAACTCACTATATTTTATCTGTGTCACATACATTAGGACAAAAAATAATAGTTATTGGGCCCGTGCGTAAGAGAGTTTATGCCCAAGTATAATATATAATATTCAATGACTCTCCAAATTTCATTTGTGTCACATAAATTGAGACAACAAAAATAACATATATTGGGTCCATTTTAATTTATTTGTCTTATTTTTTTTAGTGTTTTTTATATTTAAAAATTGCGTAAAAATACTATAAATCATGATAATTGACAACATAAAATATTTAAAAAATGTTGTATATGGTAGTCTTATTATGCCTTAAATAGTGTCAAAGAAAGTACAGTTTTGTAATAAAAAACTTATTCCTTTATCCACGCAAACAATCGCTTCAAAAACTCCGTTAGTAGCCCCAAAACATACCATTTATATTATTGGGCACATTATCTAGTAATGTTCATAAAAATGAGATAAATATGCAATTAGAAGATATCTGATGGATACATAATCACAAAAATCGCTCATGCAGTAATATAATGGATCTTGAATTTGAATGAATTTGGGGGGAAAAAATCAGAAAGTATGTGATGTATGAATATTGATGAAAGAGAAAATTTTGATGATGGTAAACATAGGAAAAGATCACAAATGTGTCTGCCATAATTAATTAGGCATTCAATAATTACTTTCTTATTTAATATTTATTTATTATATTAAATATATGTATAAAAAATTATTTATTTGTACATAATTAACTTTGCTATTTATAGTCTAATTATATCCATATAACATGAAAAAAAATAAAACGTAGTTACTTTTCTTGAATATATATGAATGTTTGCCATATTCTGAAGTTTTTCCTTCTTTATATTAGACTAAGACATGTACAGATGATGTGAATGACCATAAGGCCAAATCAGAATTAGGCCCAAGTACTGGCCCAGGCGGATAGAATCAGACTTGGGCCCAAATCTTATTTCCTTATCTATTTATTTGCTACAAGGTGTTTTACGTGTTTATTTAATTTTAAGGTTTCCTAATCAATTCCCTAAAAGATAGTCACTTCGGGATTTTCTAAAGACTAAATAATCATGCTTATTTTTCTACTTAAATTACTTTAAAATTTTACTTAATAATATTTTTAATATTTCCCTCTCCCCTAAAAATGATTTTAAGTCTTAATTGCTTATTCTCTCTATTTAATCAAGTATGCCAATTTTCTTTAAAATAACTAGCCAAATAGTTAATTATCGGATATTATTGGGCCCCAAAATATATCAAATGGATTGGCTTGGTGGGCTGGAAATTATGGAAAAGGGGCTATTGATTTGAGTATAGGGCTGATTAGAATGTTGTTGTTATAATGGGTTTCTGTTGAATGTTGGAAATATTGGGCCGGTTTGGAATTTGAGAGGAAATGGCCCAAACTTGGCTGAAAATTTGTGGGAAAAGAGTTGATGTTAGATCTTAAAATTGGTTCAAGTTAGAAGCCAAAAGATGAGTTAGATTTGCAATTGGAGAGATGACCATAGGAATTTTAATTTAGCCATTTCAAATTAATTTGTAAATTCGGTTAAAAATTAAATAAGACAAATTAATTAAATTAACTAACGAGCTTTTTAATTTTAACGAAATAAAATAATTAACTTAACTAATTAACTCAAAAATATGAACTATTACTTAACTAAATTAATTAACACAAAATCTTTTGAGACGATTTTCGAATATTTATAAAATATATTAATTATGTACATAATTACATAAAATATATTTATTATTTAAAAATTATAAAATATAACCAAAATTACTTTAAAATAACTTGAAAGACATTTTAAAAATTTATAAAGTCAATTATTTCAAATCCTTTGAAATTAAAGAAGTAATCTATAATGTAGAGGTCCAAAATTGGGTGTCAACACTTTTTTTGCTCCAGTTCTAAAAAAATATTAATTTGCCTCAAAAAATATTTTAAAAAAATAATAGTGCATGTATACTCTGAAAACTATCCCACTTGTCTTTTAATTTTTTTATTTTCTTTGTTTATACAATGTAACTAATCAAGAAAGAACGCAAATATCACTTGATTTTATAAAATAAAGAACACATAAAATCAGTAAAAAATATTCTTATGCTTACAATAAAACCTCACTAAATTAATATTCGATAAATTAATAATCTCTCTAAGATAATATTGATTTATATACATAAATATTCTATTATTACATATAATAAAGATGCTAAATGTTAATATTCTCTAAAAAGAAATTATAATATTATTCTATAATAAATTAAATTTTAATATTGTCAATAAATTAATAATTACAATTATATTTATCAATCATATAACTCAATACAATATGATACACGAAACTATACAAAATGCCTGGAGAAAGGATTTGCACCTAGCCTCAAAAAGAAAAAGTAATAGCAATACCAAAACTAAGATTTCACTCTGTTTTGGGAAAAAAGTAATAGGTCACGTGAAATAAGATTCCACTCTGTTCACCAAATCTACAGATTTTGGAAGGGTTGAGATAGATTTGTCCATGGCGCAAAAGATGCGTGATTGGTCGGAAGTTCCACTTGATCTGTTGGTTTCGATAGGTAGATGTTTGAATCTGATTGAAGACTACCTGAATTTTGGCTCTGTCTGCAAATCCTGGCACTCTGTGGCCACCAAGAACAATTTTAACAATGACTTGTGTAGAGCTCCTTGGCTAATGCTAGCGGAGGAAGAGGATAATGAGGTTCGGAAATTCTTCAGCCTCTATAATGGCATGATTTTGAACAAGAGGATCCCCAAAGCTAGCAGAAAACGATGTTTGGAGTCTATGGGTTGGCTTATCACGGTAGGAGAAGAGGGTGAAATTAGTCTGCTACATCCCTTCTCTGGTGTTCAGATTGAATTACCCCATCAAAATACAACAGTAGACTACCTCAATCATGAGATTGACCCACTGACTTGCTTTATTGGTAAGGCAATTTTATCAGCTAGTCCTTCTCACACATCCGACTACCTTCTCATGGTCATTGACGGAAACCAGAGGTTCCTCAGTTTCTGGAGACCTGGAGATATTAGATGGACTAGAGTTAAATGTGAAGGAATCAAGTACTGTTCTTTTACTGATATGATATTTTTTAATGACCAAATTTATTCCGTGGATTATTCAGGCTGTCTATTAGTTTGTGATGTTGCTGATGTTGTTGGCCCTGAACTCACTAAATGTCATATTCTAGCTCAGATACCAACGGAACCTCAAGATATGCCGGAGCACTTAAACATCCTAGAATCACTAGGATCATTATTTGTAATTGCGCGATATGGTGTTCAACTTAGGTTAGTCCAAGATGATTGCGACAGGATTCCATTAACAGTCTTCCCAGAAGGAGAAATAAGAGAGGATATGGTTTGGGAGGATCTAACATATGGGACAACAAATTTTCGAGTTTTCCAGGTTGATTTAGCTGCTGTCAAAATGACAGAAACCAGGGAATTAGGGGACGCAGCTTTTTTTCTAGGTGCTAATGCTTCTCTTTCAGTCCAAGCTTCTCGATGTCCAGGAATCAAGCCCAATCATATTTATTTTACAGAAGATTTTTATGAAACATACCTCTCCTATGAAGAAGGAGGAGGCTTGGACATGGGGGTGTTCAACTTAGCAGATGGCAGCATCCAGCCGCACTACAACGGTGTTTCCCTTAGTCGTTTTTGTCCTCCAACTTGGGTAACACCAACTCCGTATTGAGTCATACATACTCATCCTTTATTTTATTCTGTTTGTTAGGTTACTTTTTAAGCTTTTAATTTAAATAATTACTGTCAATTACTTTCAAAACTGGTTGATGTACCTTTCTTATTGGACAAAATATAATCCAATTAGTGGTTATACTTCCTTGAGTATGTGAACTCAGTGAGTGACTTAGCAGAGAGTATTATTTGTGGGATTCAGGTGGAGTGTTAGTGCGTGAAAATACAACTTGTTATAACTATAGGAGAAGTCCGTAGAGCATATTCAGACGGAAGTTGTTATGTCTTGGCTCTGTTTTCTCATCTCTCTTCTTCTATATTCTCGTCTTTTTTTGCTGTCACCAAGCAAAAAACTGCAATTCCCTTTCTTGCCACACCATCTACCTACGCTTCAGTGCAAAATGACGATGAATCAACAAGTCAAATAAGGGCAATAACCGACTCTCAGTATGAATTTTCTTGAAAGCAAGAACTCTATATTTCCATGGTAAAAGAGTTCCAGAGACTGCCAACTGCTGCCATCTTCTCAGATGTTGCGATTTCAGGTCACTTATCTCAATCTTCGCTCTAAGCCTCTTCTGTTTCTCAATCTCAAGAGCTTTCAAAGATTATTTTTTCAGTTCTTCTCCCTGTTTGGTGTTCCAATTTCAGGGCTGTTTTTTCTTTAAACAAAATAAAATTGAACATGTTTACTTACCTTTGGGAACTTAGCTAATCTATGCAGTTGAGCACCTCTCACTCTAATTTCTACTTGCATCTCTGTGAAATCGGGGTTTGTTATAAGTTTATAAAATCTGAAATCTCAAATTTATCATTCAAGATCGTTTTGTATCATGTTCTTATCAGATTTCTTAAGTCATATGTGATCAAAATGACGCTATGACTTGTTCAAGTTTAGTTATAGTTTACATTATGAACGCAAAAGGAAATAATTCATGCCTAAGTCTATGATTGGTTGTTTGTTTGCTTTCATTTGTATGAAGCCTAAATGTCTGAATCAGCCTACTAGTTATTTGTATTCCCGGAATTTTGTTTCTAGCAAAGCTATTAAGTGTGAGTTTTTGTTATTCTTCATCCTGAATCAGATTGTTTGAAAGTCGTTGCATCTGTTCGCTTTTGTTTATATTTTGTTTTGACTTTAGCATCAGATCTTTCATGGTTTGTTACTGTTGGATATCGTCTTCGAATAGGTGTAGGAGTCTCTACTAATTGGTATGTTCGACTAAGGTGTCATGTGCTGCTTTACTAATCGTGATCTTTCATTTGTTTGCTCATTTTCTGAAATGGTAGGCTAGCTTTCTGTTAAATGTTTTAACAAATCAGAATCTGTCCGATAGATGTGTTTTATTAGTTTGTCAATTGATTGCAACTATTGCAAGTGTCCGGTGCTTATTCGGGGTCCATTGGGTAGGATTTTAACTTTGGTTTGGATTGTTTTAAGTACCTATTAATTGTCTAATCTATGTGTTCATCTAACTCATCCTTAATGTTTTCCAATTTGATTTGAATGCCCGGATAGACATAGTCATAGCATGTTAGGTTTTTAGACTTCGAGTCATAGTTCTCTAAGTAATGATAGAAATTTATATCTTATAGCTATCTAGTTTTTTTTCCCAGTAATACCACTCTAAGTGGTTATCGGAAACACTTTTGACATTACAATCATTTTTTGCTTTCATCTTTCAAAATTTTCAAGTATGTTACATTGGAAATTCCTAAAAAAAAATTAACATGATAAATTTTTTATATAATTAAATCAAATGTGTATATTAAAATTTAAATTTAGTAGTATTATATATATTGGACTTATAATTTTTAAAATTTAATGGTTCAGTGTTAAGAACTTAAAGGTCAAATCGATAAAATTTATATCTTAGGTACATTTTTTCGTGATACCGGAACCCATCCTGGATACGCCTGTGATTGGGTCCCTTATCCGTTATTGATAAATTGCAACATAGAAGTCATTTTTCCTGCATATTGGTTTGTTAGTTAAAAATTAAAATACAGTAGTCTCACTTGTCTTATTTAGCTTATATAGCAATTAGCAATTACCAATAATTCTTTAATATGGAGTACATGTTTCTTTCTCTGATTAGCAGAATAGGGTGATTTCTTAAAAACATGCTTTGGCTTTTTCTTTAATTCTTGGTACATAAAGTAAATGTTGGCGGTAAGGCTCGCAACCTATTTTGTTTCAGTGCTAGATGAGCTCATTTTGGTTAAATTGATTGCTTAAGATTAGATGATCACTGGCTACCTGTTTGTTTTATTTTGAATGATTTTAAATGATCTATTAAAGAATTATTGTTTGGGTCTTATTTTTGTTAATATTTAGTTATAGCTATTGGTTGCTTACTGCCATTGAAGTCGTTATTTGTTTTGATTTGAATCATATTTGAGCTCTGTAGTTCTTTTTCATGATGCTTAAGAATAGAACAATAGCATATGTAAAAGGAGTTGTTACTTACGTATTTTTATTTATTTATGTTACATGTGAATCTGTCTGAGTTCCTTCTGGACTTTCTTCCCTCTTTGCATTTTCGAGATGAGCCATGGAGGCTCATACTTCCATTCTTGAGTCAACCTCCATCAAAGTCATGAAAGGGAAGCTAACAATATTGGGTTAAAAGCCAAATCAGTGGCAGCAGGCTAACTAACAGAGTTACCCTAGTTCCAAAGAAGCTGAAATGATAATCTTTTGGGTCCAAATCCAATTATACGGTAGCAGTAATTTTCAGTAGTTATCCAAAGGGCTGAAAAATTGAAATTTTGGACTTAAAAATCCAATTTAAGCACAGCAGTAGCAACGGGAAGCAACCAGTTCTTTATTTTATTTAGTTCCTTACTCTATTTGTGAATATATGATGATTATCGCTAACTCTTTAACATCTTTTTTGTTAATTTAGACGAATCCTTAAAAACATAGAGACTAACTTGAGAATTATTCTTTTTTCTTTCATAGTTAGTATTTTAACTTTTGAATCCACGTTTAAGTTAGTGTGTTGATTATTTGACTCGAACAAAAATGTAAAGTTAAAATCATATTTTTGGTGTCACTTCAACATTTGAATTATTTCATTACTTGGAATAATATGAATGTATAATTATCAAAATATTTTATTTATTTTCAAATAAGATTTTTTACAAGTAATCCAATTTTTTCTTAAAATTAGCCAAGCTTTTAAATCCGCCGGTCAACCGCGCATTAGCGGATCCGCTTAAAACCTTCTTTAGAGGATTTACTTGAACCCTTATCCGACTCTGATTTATTTAAAAGTTTCTTTAAAATTTCTTTTTAAATGGTTTCTTAATTTTCCTAAAATTAAGTAACGACTCATGTTTCCTATCAGTATTTTTTCTAAAATAAATTTAATTGAGAGTTTTTCGGCAAGTTATGAAGAGGGTTTTGAAACTTAGTTTTCGAAATCATATGGTAACAATTGTCTTTGATATTTCTTCATTCAACAAAAGTAGACTGTGCATGCCTCACTAAGTCAGCAATGAGTGTCTTCAATCTCATAGTCAATACCTTAGATATAATCTTATACATTGTAGAACGACATGCTATATGTAATATTTAACATGGATGGGAGATGGAACCCTTGGTATCAAAGTAATGGCAATGGTGTTAATTGCAGGGTACATAACACATGTTCTAAAGAAATATTGAACATCCTCCACCACATCCTCCTTGATTACTTCCCAATTTCTAGTGAAGAACTCAACAGGGAACCCATCCACCCTTGGGGCTTTCTCTTTAGGCATACTTTGATAGTTTCATAAATCTCTTCATATGTTACTGGTCTAATCAACTCTTGTTGTTGTTGTAGATTAAGATATTTTCCCGCCTTAACCACTCCTGAGTTAACACAGGGCAATTCAGCTGCACTGTCCCCCATCAAGCTAGAAAACACCTCAATAAATGACCTTTCAACAACTTGCAGCTCAGTAAGTTTAACATTGCTCTCAGTATACACAAAGATTATAACATTATGGCTGGCTCTAAGTCTCCATGATTCACGGAAATATTTGGTATTGGAATCACCACTTTCTGTCCAAGTTGCTCTAGCCTTCTGTCTAAGCACTTGCTTCTAAAAAATGCTTCATTTCTCCACCTCAATTATCATCTTCTTTTCTTGTTTAATCAACAATCATCCAGAATTTGCTCCTTCATTTGCCCTTGAGTAAATTCCAGTTGCTCCATAGCTAAATTCAATTTTTGCCTAGAAGAAATCATATATTCATTCATCTCTTGCAGCATGCTGTTAAGTTTTTTCAGCTTAGTCCATACCCTCTACAAAGGAAACTCCTTGTGAACACTGGTCCAGACCTGCTTTATAATGTTGTGAAACTGAGGTTGCTCCATAACGTTCATATATATTCTAAATGGCCTTTGATGCAAGCTTATATGTGAGCAAACTCTAATAAGAATAAATGAGTGGTTTGAAACTGATGGGTTTAGATAGCCTGCCTCCACATGTCTAAACTGTTGTATCCAATTATAGTTCCCATGCCTAAACTCTAATAAGAAAGTAAACTTAGTGTTCTCTTTTGCATCTTTGCAGTACCTTCTTGGTACTAGCCTTAGTAAATACTTCATTATTTTTTTTAAAAAAAGGAAGAAGCTTTGATTGTTTTTTGCATTGATATAGCTAATACTTTGAAGGCCTCTCTTGATTAGTTGGACTTTTCATTTAGAAAGTGGTAAAGTGGAGGCACGCATGCACCCGTATTTTCTGTGTTATTTTACTATTTTACATCATTTGTGATGGGTTTTAGTTGGAATATCACACCCCTTTTTGTGTTTCTGCCTTGACATATTTACTACACTTCTTGTTCAAATCATCTGATATGATTTCGTTTGTGTCTATTAATGAATGCCAGACTTATTTCTTGTATGCCAACATTAACTTTTAGTCGTTGTTCTAATGTGGTATTTTGTCTTCAATAACAGTTGGCAGAGCCAAAATTAACAAGGAAGAAGGAAGGTACCCTACTGTAGTTACAGTTCTTGCTGTATATTTATTTGTTTATTTTTCCTGTATTCAGTTGAAAGAACAGTTTATGCAAATGAGCTCACACACTAATAAATGACAGAAGAAGCAATCAGAAGGGCTGATGCATTGGAGCAAGATCAA